AAATCAGCTCATGGGCAAAAAAGCAACACCATGCAGCAGTTAAGGAGCAACCCAAAATGAAACTGGAGGATTACCTAAGCTGGAAGTGGTCTGGCATATAAGTAGTTAGAAGCCTGGGGTTTGCATATTGTGTAAAAGGTATTAGCTCCACTCTCAAGAGTCCTGCCTTACACACTGCTGCTTGGTACTGGCGTAGAAGGAAGAATGCCACTTACTGAGCCACTATATCCTACCATTCATCTAGCGTAATGTTCTCCCATCCAAGTACTGAGCCTGTGTTACCCTGCTTAATGTGAGGTCTAAATGGATCCATAGCTACAGGTAGTAAAGGAGCAGCACTGAAGCAGTAGAAACAGTGACTGCTTTTTGTGATGATCCCATTGTTCTGATACCATTAGGGTATGTGCATGTGGGTATTTGAAAAAGGGAATTCCCATAAGCAAGTGGGCATTTGCACTACAGCCTATTTTTCATTAATATTAGAAAGGGGATCAGAATATATCAATCTCGTTAAGCTTTTCGCTTTTGGTTAACATCTCTCTAATAGATTATCAGTTCGCTACAGAAAGGGTGATGGGGAGGTTTGTATTATGTGCATGCTGTTTTATTTGCCCCATACAATCTGTTTCCTTACCAAACAAACAAGCAAAAAATGGCCTGGGGGGGGGGGGGACCAGAGCTAAAATGAAGATATGGACTGAAGCAAGATATCATTCACAGGCCAGCCACTGCGTGCCTGAGGCACACTGCACCACTGCACTTGGCAGTAGAGTTTTAATCCTGTAATGCATGACTTGTCTTGAGAGGGTAGTGATCACAGCTAGACCTTGCTTTCTCATGCTATATGAAGTCCCATTAGTATCTGGCATTGTAGTATCACCCAAGATGAGTATTTGCCAAGCTTTTGGCCCAGTTGGCAATCCACTTTTTTTTGTTTTTTGGTAGCTTGTTTTGGTTTTTATCCAGTGACTATCTTGGTTGTGGCTGTTATTGGTGTTACTGTTACTATTATTTTCATACCACTCTCTCTTGTGAGCTTTATTTGTTACTCAAGTAAAGGTCAGATATCTGACATCGGACCAATATTTTGGTTGTACATGTATCAATTTGCAAAAGATTTCTGCTGGCTTTAAAGGTGTCATCTCAAGTTTGGGGAAAAATATTTTTTTGGAACCTTCAATTCAGTTCAGCCTAAGAAAGGGGTCATGCAAAATGATCAAAAAGTCTGGGTTATCCATCTCTCAGTGGTCTGAAAGTTTGTTGGATGCAGAAAATTGGATGCTACTAGGTTTAGAGCGATCTTTTTTTCCAGTGCAAAACTGTCCCTTACTCTAGCCTGAGTAAAATCTATTAAAGGGTGTCAATTATATGGACATAATTAAAATTGTTAGAGGGCATTTGCCCTATATTAAGAATAGCATAAATGTGTTCCCAAGTTCATGCTCACAAAATAAACCTTGGCTTTCATTTTGCTTGTAAAATGGAGGGTTTCAATTTAATTAAAACCTACAAGGACGATGCCAGAAACGAAGCAAGCAAAATTAAACAATCAAAATCCTGCGCATTTGTTTTGGCATTTTAAACCTCAGTGCTAAGTGATTATATCATTCTGTTGATCCTTAACAGGAGGAAACAATGATCCGCCTTGGCTTACTTAGCTAGCTCATGAAAACTCCAAGGTATTTTTGTATGGTAATTCGTGCATAGAGTTTCTAACTGTAGGGGGAGCTTAGCAGGGTATGTCAGTACCCCTAATGCTTTTTCTAGCCCACAGGAATTGTATAGTATGAATACTGTCATATAGCTCTGGGCACAAAAAGGACATCTTGATTTGTTGTTCCATGCTATGAGTTCTTATTCTGTATGATTTGCAAGAACCAAAAATAGTAAACCCATGGGTAGACTGTGTGTGAGATCAGGGAAATGCACAAAGCTAGGAGATGATAGAGGAGAATAAGGATTAAGCAAACTCTACACTCTCCTATGTTAGATCCCTTCACTCATCTTCTTTTATCTCTATCTTTCCAATTAATGGCTTAGTTGTATGCCTAATTGAAATCAATCAAATGACTTCATCAGCTGAAGCAGAAACATGGCCCTTGCATGGAGTTTTTAAGACAGGGGTCATATATATACTCAAAGGCTAGGGACAGAAATTACACATAAACCACTGTAAGTGATTGGAAACTGCTTCAAATCTGTAACACAACAGAAGTTCAGTGAACGTAAACCTCTTTCAAAATAGCCAAAACCAGTTTAAGATAAACTTGGATGGATGCAATATCAGACTTAATTGATTCAGGTCAAATGGGTTTATTGAATTTCTGTCCCAGATCCCCTTCAGATTTAAGTTAACTCATAGTCCCCCAGCATCCCAGGATGCTTTGTGCCTCCCTTCACAACCCTCCCCCCTCTCACAGGGTGGGCAGACTAGCCTTGGCCCAAGCGGTCTGCTCCAGCTGAGCAGGAAGGCATGCTCTAGTGTCCCCCAGCTTGTGGCCTGGGCCACTGCAGGCATGTGGGGCATTTCCAGAATCAAAAACAAATATCTGTTCATTTGTGTATTGGTTCAGTCTACGCAGCTTAGACTAACCTGTGAAGATTGAATCTATTCAGCCTCGGGCTTTGTGGTTGTCTCTACTTAGCTTAAGAGATTTCTGCATGTTTAGTATCCATAACTGGGGTCAGACTTTAAAAAAGCTCTACTGCCACTGAGGAACATCAGTAAAACCAGATTTCCAAAAGCGTTTAGCATTTGATCAGGTGGGCTTTTTGGAAAACTGGTGTCAATTGTTAGAATTGAAACTTTCCAGAAGTTTAGCTCCACAGAACTGAGCAGTCATATACCCCTTTACTATGGCACATGCTGTTCAGGTTCCTACTTTTATTGTCTTCTGCTTTCTCCAGGGTTGCATAGGCAAGGGTTTAATTACAAGACAGCAACCTTAACTCTTTACCATCAGAATATTATACAAGTACCAACCTCAGCAAAAGGCTTCTTATGAATTTTTGCTTACTGCCTCAGTAGTAAAAACAAAGAGCTCATCTACACATGCACTTTAATGCATATTAGCCTATTTTAAAGCTTATTAAAGCATCACTAAAATGTGCTATTTGGCTAATGCACATTAAGCGTAATTTAAAAACCATGCGTTTTAGTTAATGCAAATTAAGACAAGCGAATGCACATTTTCGTAGTACCTCACATTGAAGGTACTAGATTTAATGCACATTAACTAAAGCTCATTAATGCACATGTAGATGCGCCTAAAGTAAACGCCATAGGAAAATGTTACTTCAGCATGCACAGCATTACTGATTCAAAACATTGGGAAAAAAATAATCAATTTATCTCTGCAGCACCTGCAGAGTTGCACCATGTGCAGCCAGAGCTGGGAGTCCCACAGTGATGGTACTTTCTGTCCTGGCAGTGCCCCATAGCTGTGGACCCTGCCCTGGAAGCTGTGGTGTGCTGTCAGGATGGAGAGTCCTTCCAGCTGCAGGACTCTGTCCTGGCAGCCACAGGACACTGCCATGGCTGTGAGTTAGGTCAGCTATGGGACTTACAGCTGTGGGAGCTTGCTACTTGCTGATGCAGGGGGAGCATGGGATGATGATCCCAGGCTCCCCCTGTACCAGCAATAAGGCGTGGTAGGAGTTGATGCTGGATCTCGCAGTCACAACTCCTGCCATGCACATGTGCCATGGCAGGAGGCATAATTGTGTGGATAGTGCATCAGATCCTATCATGCATTTTCCTGAACATCTAGAGGGGTCCTGTGAGTCTTTTTTGTTTGTCCTTCCCACATAATCACATGCCTCCAGAAGCTGGGACTTTACGGAGACACACAAAAATGATCATAAAAGTTGCAGGACTCATTATAGACTCATTATAAAGTTGCAGGATCTGTCAATATTACATGAATATTCAGTAACAATTTGCATTTCCTCATGGCCAGAGCAAACAAAAGTTAAAATATCAGGGCTTTTCAAGCCTTTGGCAAGCAGCCACAGAGTTTTTATTTTATTTTATTTTATTTTATTTTATTTTGTTGAATCAATTCCTCTGCTAATAAAATAGTGTTGTATGCAGGTTGCCTGAGGAAGGCTGTTTTGCTCTTATAGCCCAGAACATTGTCTGTGGCTAGATTTTTCTCTCAATTCAGTAACAAACAGGATCACAAACAGAACCTTTACTTTTTCACATTAGGAGGTATAATGTAAGAGTCAAGTAAGCAGAGGTGATTTACAGCTACCTCTCAAATGTTTTTCTCTTCATATTGACCAAAATGGGTATCAAGCAGATGAAGAGGAACTATGTAATAAGAAAACATGCTTTCCTCAGGACAGAATAACTTATATAGACAGTGGACAATGGATGAAAAATGAATGAGAGTAAAACCACATCCTTTAGAGGGCTGGCAAGGTTAATTATAAAATCACAGTTCCATTGATTTCACTCTAAAATCACTAAATCAAGGTCAAGTCCGACCCAAACCTAGCACACCGTTGGGCTAGTGTGGTTAAGGCATGCCCACTTCCATAGTCAGTAGAGCATATGAGAATGATGAGGCTAACACCATGTCAGGCTGCTATTGGCTCTCTAGTCTGAACAGTCACAAAAGCATTTACAGCTGGGGAGGGCTTTCAGATGAAGTATATACTCAAGCTCAAATCTATCCCCTAACTGCCCTGCCATTGCAGCACCCTATAAAGTCTTAGTGACCCATCCATTTTCTTGTCTAATATGAATTTCCTATCTTACAGGCATCTTACTTAACAACTTATAGCATGCAGCAGAGTAATTGATTTGTAAAATGTAGGCAACAATAAAAAGCATGTCACTAATGTCCTTTTTCCTTGTTAGTCTGTCTTTGCTAGGTTGTAGTCATGTGCTGTGCATTCTAGCAAATGTATGCAACATATTTGTTTTTCAGGTTGTGGTAGTATTGGTAATAGCAGTGCCAGATTTCACCCTTCTACTTGTCTTCCTCTTTTAGGGTTTGATACGTATTTTACCTCACGTACATTGGAGAACAACAGAAGGAACGTGTGGTTTGCAGAATATTGGGAGGAGAACTTCAATTGCAAGTTAACAATCAGTGGGTCAAAAAAAGAAGACACAGATCGTAAATGCACAGGTAATTGTATTCACTTCACCCTTCTCATGCTACCCTACGTGACTTGCATTGAAATGATTGCATAGCTGACGCAAGGAAGCTTGGTTGGAAACAGATTGAAAAAATAAATTGAATTTTAGTAGTTGTACAGAAAATGGAACAGGAGCATAAGCCTTGCAGGACAAAAGAAATAGATGGAGAGAGGCAAAAAAGCATTCTTTTCTATCTTTTTTTTTTCTGTCAGTCCATTCAGCCATAATTGGCATTTGCCAGTGATTCCAGGGATACAGAAGAGGTCACCTTGTTTTGAATATTTGGGTAGTGGGTTTTTATTTACGTGTTTCTAGATAAAAAGATGCGTAAGACCAAATATTGATTTCTGTCATGAAATGACAGCTATGAAATATAAAGTAGCTGCTATATTAAAACATTTGGACCATGTACACACTGTATAGCAATGATTCAGAATATTTTGGATAGTGATATTACAGTCAATAGCTCTGTTTGAACTTACCTGTTGATGAAACATATCTGTAGAAAATATAATGCTATAGGACAATGTGTTCTAATCATAGGACAAGTAAAATATCATCCAGAACGTTATTCTAGTAAATGTAATTTAACAGAAAGATAAGTCATTTTTTCAACCTCAGTACTTAGGTACAGGAAGCCTGACCTACAGCCTTTCTGGCTTAAATTTATGCCGTCTCCATTAGTCCTCTGGATCACCTGTGACTATATCGCTTTTCTTCTTACTATCACCCAGTGTTGGTCCTGATCTATTTAACATATACTCCGAGTCTAATGGTTTCCAGTAGGTTCTCTTCATGCTGAAATTCAGTTTTATGGTATTCTTTCTAGTCAGATGCCAGCATAATACTGGTAATATCATAGGAATATAGGACAGGAAGGAGCTGTCCAGTTCCTTGCATTTGCAGGCAACTATTGACTCAGTGATTCCTAAAGATCGCCACTTCAAACGCTCATTTACAACTACAAGGCACAAAACCAGTGGACATCAGGAACACACAACAACATGCCATGCCTCTGAGCAGGGTAAACAAGACCACTGCCAATTCCAAATCCTTGCCAGTCTGGCCTATGGGAAAAAAATCCTTCCTGACATCAGATGGGATTAGACTGAGGAGAACAACCAAAACCTCTAGCCCAGGGGTGCGTATCCCCTGGCCCACGGGTGAGATCCAGGCCACAGAGCCATGTCATCTGGCACATAGCTCCCCAAAGGACTTGAAATTTGGTGGCAGGGAAGCAACGGTAGCATTAGTTGCTGCTTCCCTGCTGCCAAATTTACAGAACACTGGGGAGTCCCATGGACCAGATCACATGATCTTGCTCCCTAGATTGTGCTAGTGTGCAGCTGGTCCAGCCACAATGGGTCATGCCAGCATGTAGGCTCAGATCTGGCATGCTAGATCGCATCTGTGGACCGACCCCATGCCACCAGCCTAGCACAGAATCACCCCACAGTCCAACCCTGCACCACTCAGCCAGCTCTTGGGAATGGAAGGTTGGGTACCACTGCCCTTGTCAGTTGTCTGAAATGCCACAATCAACTCCAAAGTCTTAACTATAGCCAGTGGCATTACCCATTCTTAATGCCCAAAATGGCAGGGTTTGGAAGAGCCCATACCCAGTTGCCACCAACTCAGTTAAGTGATTTTGGGCAGCCATTTCCAACTACATCCAAAAACAAGGCATCTTTAAACTTGTGTAGAATCAGCCACATTTTTAAGGTAAAATGATAAAGGACACCAGAATGTATCTGCTAATGTCTGGCTGCACGTGGTTGACTGTGGACTCATGCTGCAAAAAATTAGCCTTAAAGACAGTTCTTTCAATTTACTCCAACTATAGCCACTTTATTTTTTTAGATGGCCCATAAGCTTAGGATGACAACTATCCACCTGATATATAGTGATGCAGTTAATTGGATTATGGAATATTTTTCTTAAAGAAATGCACAAATGAAAATCCATTCTTGGATTCTCTCATCCGACAATAATATTTGTTTGAAAATTAATAAATGATCTTTAAAGTAACATTCAGAGCACTCATCAACTGCATCGTAACTTTGACAACCCAATCGTGCTTTTATTGTAATATATGCAACAGGGAAAGTGTGATTTTTGTTTTTCCTTTTCAAACAACACTCCTGATATAAGGTGGTATGCTGACCCCCACCAGCAAGCAGGAATTCAGAATGAATATTTCCTTTTCATGTATAGGAGGGGTCTCCAACTTCTAAGTCCCCAGGGGCCACAAGCCACATAGGCTACATCAGGCAACCCATGGGCCACTGGCCCATACAGACACTCTTTTCCCCCACCCTTTCCCAAACTTTTCCATGCACCCACATGGTCATCCACCCCAATTCTGCACCAGTTATCTCCCCACCACACACACACACACCCTATCCCAACACTACACCACAGAGAAGTGATGTACTAGTCAACACTCCCGTGGCCCAGAATCACCCTCGGCTTCCCACACTGTGCTGCACTGCTCCCACCCTCTGAGATGGAGGCAGGAAGTGGCAGCCAGAGAAAGGAGCAGGGGACTCCATCTTCTGTTGCAGCTGGAGAGAATGAGGGAGGGGCAGTCAGGTGAGAATCTGGGTGCTGCAATTTTAGCCCTTGCAGGCTGTAGCTGGTCCGTGGGCTGCCAGTTGCAGAGCCCTGATGTATAGCATGTCCTGTTGAACTGTTACAGTGTGGCTAGCTACTGTACTTAATAGCATATGCTGATCTCAGGCACCCTTAAGTGCAGAGCTATAAAGAACATGTAGTGTATGGGAAGCAGCCTTAAATTGTCTTGCTTTTCTTTAGGCTTGTATGACTCTTGCAGTCACATTGGACTGAATAATAGTCTCGTGAAGTGTTGTGTGGCAGTGAGATTTTAGCCTATAGCCAGTGAGAAAGAAGGAAATCCAGTAGTTAAGGTCCTAGCATGGGATTTGGGAGGCCTAGATTCAGTGCCCTTTTCTTCTACATCCTGGATAAATGCCCCGACCCTTGATCTACTGGGTAAAAGTAGGATACCACCATTCTCTCATCTTCTGGTAGTGTATTCTGGTAATCTGGTAGAGTCCGACCTGTTAGACAGGTAACAAGAATGCTGAATAGATTGAACTCTGCAGTCTGTACAGGTTAGACCAGGTGGAAGAAGGCCCTAAAAGGGCTCAGGCATAAGATAAGCAACAAGCTGCTTAGTATTGTCAAGAGTGAGGTGCTTCAGTGCATACTTCAAGGCAGAACACTCAGTCCCTCAGAAACTTTAGTGTCAGAAGTGCTTACAGGTTTAAGGTTTAAGCAAGAAGAGGTTTTGAGGTTCTATATTTTGGACTATGGCACCTTAGTTACTCAAGCAACTAAGTCCTGTCTAAGTCCTTTTGCAGAACCCGTAGCATCTCTGTTAGAGGTACACCAATACAACAATCTGATATCAGATCGGTACCTATATAAAGAAAATTGTCTATATTGGAAATTGGCCTGATGTGGCCAATAATTTGGCTGATAAATGGCCCATGCATGTGTGTAGTTGCAGCGCCGTATGTAGGCAGTGAGGAGCACAGCTGGCAGTGTGGAGAGCTGCATGCAGCTGTTAAGTCTGGTGTGGTGGAAGGGGAGGGGAGTGAAGGAGCATAGGGGTGCAGATCAAGGCCCCCACGGTGAGGGAGGGAATGGAGCTAGGACTGGGGAAGACACTGCCTAGCCGGGGCGGTGGGGGCACATGTGGGACAGGGCTGCGGCTCATCTAGGGGGCGTGGGAAGAGGGGGCGGCTCCCACCCCTGTGTGCTGCTCATCCAGGAGCCACATATCCAGCGGCTTGTCTGGAGGCTCCCATTGCTGCTCCTGCCAATCATCCGGGAGGGCATGGGGGGAATGAGTGGTCCTGGATCAATGTGGCATGGGATGGGCTGGGCTATACTCAGGATGTGTGGCGGTAGTGCTGGGAGTGGGGGGGGGTTGGAGGGGCTACGGT